AGCAGGTCCACTTGGGCCTCGGTCTCGCGCTCGATCGGCGCAGGGGTACCAGACACGGCCGAGTTGTTGACGAAGACGTCGAGGCGGCCCCACTTGTCGATGGCGGCGGCCACGAGCGACTCGACCTCTGCCTGCACCGCGACGTTGGCCCGGAAGGCAAAGGCCGAGCCTCCGGCCTCTTCGATGTGGGCCACCACGGCCTTGGCCGCCTCACCATCCTGCAATAGCAACAAATGGCGAGGTGTCAAAACTAAAAAAAAGTAAATGATCAAATGGAACAAGAAGAGGGCGGACCTGGACGTAGTTGACGACGACTTTGGCGCCGTCGGCGGCGAGCTTCTTGGCGATGGCGGCGCCGATGCCTCGGGAGCTGCCGGTGACGACGGCCACCTTGCCATCGAGTCGGCCAGCAGTTTGGGGTGCAGAAGATGAGGACATGTTGCTGTTGGTTGGGGGTATGTTGGTTTGTTGTTGTTATTGAGGGCCGAGAGCGCTGCATTTATATGGGAGTCGTCGGCGATAGGGGGAATTTGAGACCACGCCGCTGCAACTTGCAACCGACCAACAGGCCAAGCTCACGAATGCGGCGACTTAACCAAACCAATCACAATCGAGCGTGTGCTGACAAATCAAGCTTTGGAAAACAGTCATGTCAACGCCGTGTCGCCGGGCGTGCTAGAGACGGACATGCCAGCAGGCGTGCTGGATCGAGTTGAGCTGATAAAAATAAAGGAATGAATTTTGGGTGTAGTGGGTATGGGAGAAGGCTCACTCTTTCTTGATGTTGTCATCTATCGTTGGCGAAGATGGCAACGTTGAGGATTTCAAGAGTCTGTGGGAAGATGAAGATGAAGAGGATGAAGAAGGAGAAGAGTTGGTGGTGGTGCCCAATACGACGAAGAGGGAGAAGGCGATGAAGATGAGCAGGGACGAGATGACCCGGGGTCCGCCGAGGCCCACGAAGTTGAACAGCACGCCGGCGAGCAGGGGCGCCACGATGTCGCCGATGCTGTTGACGCTGCCGGCCACGCCCATGGCCAGCCCGATCTCCCGCGCCCGTCACACCCATCACCGACGTCATGTAGGACGAACCCTGCGTATTGAGGAGAATGAGTGCGCGCACAGTGTCAACTGTTGTGTGTGTGTGTGTGTGTGTTGCATTTGTGTTGTTGCGTGTGTGTGTGTGTGTGTGTGTGTACCTCAGGACCTAGGCCGAATCGCTCGAGCATAAAGAGTCCGAAGTTGGCTCGGCCCATGGCCATGGCCAGGTGGATCATGAACTTGATCAGCAGCAGACGGCCCACCTTGGGTCTGGCGAACACTTCCCAGACGAGCTTCAGCTGGCGCACCACGCCGGTGGTGGCCTTGGTGTCCTCCTTCACGATCGTGTCTTCTTGACCGCCTTCATCGTCGCTTGTGCGGTCGTTGTTGCTCTCCTTGACGCGCTCGCTCTTTTCGTCGCGTGTTGGTAGTGATGGAGGAGTCGGCGCTGGCGGGTGGTGCTGCTGTCGCTGCTCGTCGACGAAGAAGAAGACGATGACGAAGTCGACGAGGTAGAGCAAAGCGGCCACCAGCGCAGGCGCCATCTGGCCCACACGCGCCGAGAGGAGGCCGCCCGCTGCCGGGCCCACAATGAAGCCCAGCGACATGGCCGTCCGCAA